AATTAATTAAAAATTATTTATAAAATCTTCAAGTAGTTCCAGACAATCAGGAAAATAATTTTCTCAGTTACTTGAAAATAAGCACAAGGAAAAACAGTTTCAAGAAATCACAACATCATTTTTCCAACAAAAAATGAAGAATTTTCTTTTGTGCTTCAGGAAAATGGCACTCTTGATGTATAGAATAACAGTCCCACTCCCAGCAGAATCACTCTAATCCAGGATTTGAAATGAGTTTTGTCTTTTGGCTGCCCCAGTCAGAGGCTGTGCCTGGATTGCTCCTGGCTGTGCCCTGGCCCAGCCGGGGCAGTTTCCACCTGCATCACGTTGTGGTTCCCGATCTGAACCATGCGGGCGTGCTGGATGATCAGGGGTGCCACCCCTGCCTGGCCTGCTGTCAGGCTGTAGTGGCCTGGGGGCAGCTGTGCGTGGCAAGGGGGAGGACCCCTCTGAGCAGGCGGGGGGTCCATCGGGGCAGGGGGGCACCAGGGCTGAGCTGGTGGCCCTGGTGGCCCTGGCCATGGCGCTGCTGGAGGCCCGCAGGGAGGGGAGCCCAGGCTCAGGGCAGCCAGCTTCTGCTGGGCTTGCTGCTGTTCCCAGCGTGCCTGGAGCTTCCTTCTCTGCAGCTGGTCCCACATGGCTTTCTTCTCCCTGATCTTCTCGGGGTTAAAAGTCTTGTGCACTTTCCTGGGGAAGAGAGGAGAGCTCTCATTGAGGGTGACGAGCACACTGAGCATGCTGGGGATCTGGCTGCTCTCCAGGGCGTTTGCCTTGGGTAGAAATGGGATGACTGAGTCTTTCTTGGAGGGGTCCATGATGGACTGCATCAGAGCAGTGTCTGTCTGGTACAGGCACAGGTTGCAGGGAAAGTACTTGGTCAGCAGCAGGATCATGAAGGCAGAGTTTTCCATGGCCTCCTGGAAGCAAATCATGTGGCTGCGCCCAGCAATGAAGAAATCCTCACTGAGGGTGGCACCGTTGGACACCCCCATGCTCTCCAGCAGGTTCTTGACCTGGTGGGCCACAATCTCATCTTCACTGGCGTGCAGGACAACAAACGTGAAGAACTTGGCACCTTCTGGCTCTGATGGATCCATGGCTGGGGGAGCAGGAGGCCTGGCTGGAGAGGGGGATGAGTGCAAGGGAGAGGGATATGATGGTTTGGAGGGGGATTCCTGAAGAGGAGGAAGAGTTGAGGAGAAGGAATAAGTAGGAGGAGGAAGGGAACAGGTTGAAGAAGCAGCAGGTGCAGAGTTGCAGGGAATGCCTGCTGGAATGTGGGAATCCTGTATGGACACGAGGGCAGGAGCAGTATCCACTGCAGCCCTTGAGTCAGGGACATCAGCAGATAATTGCTTTTCATGCTGCTGTTTATCCTGCCTTTCATCCTGCTTTTCTCCTGGCGTGTGAGGCTCTGTCACTGTGCTGGACGCGTCACTGCTTTGGGTAGCCTCCGAGGGCAGCGGTGTTGGAATGGGGAGAGGGCTGGGCTGGCAGGGACTGACCTGCAGAACCTCCTCTGCCTGGGGCCCTTGGGCAGCTGTGTCCTGCCCAGGGGGAGAGCTGGGTGTGCTGGCCCAGCTGCATTCCTGGGGGCCGTGGCTCTGTGTGTCCCCGGCACGGCTGGGCCAGGGGACACACTCGGGGACAGAGGGCTGCGTGTGAAAAGCAGCTGTTGGTGATGCACTGATCTCCAAACAGCTGGACAGGGAGGAGCTCCCCACAGAGCACAGGGTCCGTGGGCCTGAAAGGTCTGAGCTGCCCCTGATCTCCACTGGTGAGCTGGCTGTGTGAGGAAACCCTGCATCCTCGTGGGATCTCAGCGTCCCAAACCTGTCCCCTGAGCCCCCGCTGGCTGCAGAGCCCTGCTCCTGTTCCTTGGGTGGCATGTTGTTGAGTGTCCCCTGCTGAGCGTCCTCGCTGGCGTGGCAGGCGTTGTCCCTGGCCTCAGGACTGCAGAGCTGTTCCTGTGCCAGCACAGTGTACACCTGTGCCAGCAGCGCCACGGCTCCTGCATCCAGCTGGGGAGGCTGCGGCTCCTCCCCACCTTCCCGCACTCCTGCAGCGCCCAGTTTGATCTGGTGGACGTACTGGGCCGCCTGGTTATCCCTCAAGGCATCCAGACAAATTCTCGCCTCGGTTTCTTGCCCCAGAGTGAGCAGGACCATAGCTTGCAGTAACCTGCTGCAGGGCCCAGGTATCAGGTGCTTCAGTCTGAGTTTGAGGCTCAGCAGTTTCTCTGGCGGGGCCCGGGACAGAATGTTGAACGCGTCCTCGAAGCTGGGCTGCAGCTCAGCGCTCTGTGCCATCTCAGCAGCTGCTGGCCCCCACCACGGCCTGGAGCAGGGATGGGAAAAGCATCTTACGGCCAAGGGCTGCGTGCCTGTGGGGCTGGGGGTGCCCCGCTCGCGCTCCTCGCCCCACACACGCCCGCGCTGCCCAGGGCTCTGCTCGGAGCTGGGGCCTCTCGGTGCTGGGGGTCTGCAGGAGAACAGAGCACAGCGGTCGCAGGGCTGCTGGGGGCACGGGGGGGGCTCCTGGAGCTCACGGGCTGGCTCTCACACCTCCCAAATTATTTTTGCAGCTGTTCCGTGCTTGCAGCTGTGCCAGCGCTCTGTGCGTTATTCCAACTCTGTGATTAAGCAAAGAGCACATTATTCGCGTTCATTTCACATTAATTACAACTGGTTTAAGATAATTGACGAAATAATGCTATATTTAGGTAAATCCAAGTGTCTCCTCCGGGCAGCTGGTTCCAGGGTTCTCACAGGCTCCTTGTGATGGCAGTTGAGGAATAAAACAGGTGTAGAGGAAACCCTTTCCAGCCGATAACCTGTGTTATCAGGGAAGACTCACAGGAAAGAATTCCTTCCCAATCTCCCACCCAACCCTGCCCTCTGGCAGTGGCAGCCATTCCCTGTGTCCTGTCCCTCCAGCCTTGTCCCCAGTCCCTCTGCAGCTCTCCTGGAGCCCCTTCAGGCCCTGGCAGGGCTCTGAGCTCTCCCTGGAGCTTCTCCTCTCCAGGTGAGCGCCCAGCTCTGCCAGCCTGGCTCCAGCCCTGGAGCAGCTCGGGGCCTCCTGTGGACTCTGTCCCAGCAGCTCCACGTCCTTCTTTCATTGGGAGACTTTTATATCCCCATCCACAGGTGATCCCTGAGCCCCTGCACTCACCCCAGGCCCCTGATGGGATTTTAATTAAACCACAGGAGTGTCGGGAGGGGAGGAGCGGGCTCCGCTGGGACACTCGCTGCTGCAGGCGCTGCCTGAGCCCGCTGCAGAAACTTTCCCTATTTAAAGGCAGCCCCAGCAAACGCCCCGAAATAACTCTCAACTGGGGAAAGTTTCCAAGCTCAGTTTTGTTTTCATGTCTCATGAAAACCCTGCAATTGCCCAATGGGCCTCGCTGCCCGGGCCGGGCCAGCCCTGCCCTGTGTGCCCGATGGGCACGGCGGTGGCACGGCCGGGCTGGGGCAGCGCTCGGGGCGAGCCCCGTGCCCGGGAAGGGCAGGGGTCGGCCGGGAAGGGAAGAGAAGGGCAGGGGTCGGTCGGGAAGGGAAGAGAAGGGAAGGGGTCGGTCGGGAAGGGAGCGTACCTGCGGCCGGTGCCCGGGGCAGGCGGAAGCGGCGCGGGCCGGGGCGGAGCGGGGCGGAGCAGGAACCGCGCACCGGAGGGCACGGCCCGGGCCCGGGAGCCGCGGCACGGGGGCCCCGGCCCGGTGAGCCACCCCAGGCCGGCCCGCTGGCCCCCGCGTGAGCAGCCGGAGGTGACACAGAGCGCCGGGGCCAGGCAGGGCCCGAGCTCTCCCTGCGGGCAGTGCCGGGATGGGGACGGGCCGTGCACGGCCCTGCAGCCCGGGGAGGCAGAGGCAGCTGCGGGTGAGGAGGAGCAGGGCGGCATGGACAGACGCAGCCGAGCCTCAGGGGTACAGGCAGAAGTCAGAGAAACAAAACGATGAAGGCATTTTTCTGGATAAGCATGGTACCTACTAAAGCTAGGGGGTTTTCCTGTTTTTTCCCTCCAGCAAGGGCAGGGAACAGACAGGCTGGCCAGGGACAAGATTTGGTAAATGCAAGGCTTCATCACAACTCAGGGGAGGGGAGAGCACAACCCTGCAGCTTTAGGTACACACAAACACACATGGTTTTGAACACAGGTCATGCTTTATTCCAGTGTCTGCTCACCAGCCCTGGCACAGGGACAATGCCAGGAACAGTTACCAAAATAAGTTACACTCAAAATTATTACAAAGTAGCATTTTCTGGGAAAGAACCAGCACCCGGATTAAAATCCCCCCTATTTTAATAACAGGATATCCTAATCCCATGGCAGAGTAACTCCTGGGAAAAGCTGCCTCATTTAATGGCTGTGAAGTGTTTCACACATGGAGTTACTCACAGATAATCCTTGAAGTCATTCACAGAAATAGGAAAGATTAAAGAAAACCCCACACTGCCGAGTGCTTCTCCATGAAGGAAGAAAAGTTTGGCTGATCCATGAAATCTCTTCTTGAGAAGCAGCTCCTTGCCCCCAGCTGTGCCAGATGTGCTGCAGGGCTGAGCCTCCCCAGAAGCACAACAGGCACAAAGGAAGTTGTGTCTGGAACTCGTATTTTTAAATGTGGAGAAGGTGGGAGATGGTATCAAAGGTCAAGCATAGCATCTTCTCAAGAGTTCCACAGCTTGGGCAAATTAAAAACAAATCCAGCATTAAAAATAAGTTGAGATCACTTCTCTCCCACAACTTGTCTCAGCAAGATTTAGCCACTCACAGCCACAGCTGGGCTGAGTTAAAAAGCTGCAGTGCAGGTCCCATCTCCCCTTTCAGCACAGCAGTTGGATTTAAAAACAGTACATCAAGATTCAGAATCTCCCCACCTTGGTTATCATACCTCCTTACTACATCTGACTCTAAATCCAGAGAGCAGAGGCACTCATGGCACACAACTAGAAGATCCAGAGCTGTTCTAGCCCAGCAGCCTTGGCCACAAGAGCTGGGATTTATCAGAGATCTTCCTCTGCTGCACTGGTTTTTATCTCCTTTGCAGCCAGGGCCACCTCTGTGTCCTTCCCTACCTTCTCGTCCAGCTTCTCTAGCACTTCACACCATTTTTCTGAGAGCCTGTTGGTTCCCTTTGGCTCTTCAGGTGCCTTTGTCACCTTCTGTGATAGTGGAGCCTTCTCCAACGTGGTTAATGTTATATCACTCCTCATCTCTCTCTTCTTGTGCTTTCTGCTGTCCTGTGCCACCTTAGCCATGGCCCTGAAGGGCCCCACAATCCAGTTCAGAGGGGTGTTGTGAGCGACATACTCAAAGAGGACATCGAGGGACCTCCGGGCCTCCGCCACGCGCTCCTGGCTGCGGGCCAGGGTGGTTCCGGAGAGGTCCTGGAAGGACACGGCCCTGGAGAAAGAGCTGTGGAGCTTGTGGATGTGTCGAGTGGCCCGAGATACAGCTTCCTGGATGCTGCTGGGGAGGCCGTGGATGCTGAGCTTGAGGCTGTGGTAGGCGGGCTGGAGCTGCTGGGTGATGATCCTCAGCATGGCCAGAGTGCGCGGCTCCACCTGCCGGGACAGGAGAGCTCGGGGAGGCTCCGGCTGCCGGGAGAGAACAGCTCGGGGACAGGAGAGCTCGGGGAGGCTCTGGCTGCCGGGAGAGAACAGCTCGGGGAGAGGAGAGCTCGGGGAGGCTCCGGCTGCCGGGAGAGGAGAGCTCGGGGAGGCTCCGGCTGCCGGGAGAGGAGAGCTCGGGGAGAGGAGAGCTCGGGGAGGCTCCGGCTGCCGGGACAGGGCAGCTCGGGGAGAGGAGAGCTCGGGGAGGCTCCAGGGGGTACCTCTGGCTGGCTCGCAGTTCTGACTTGGTTTCCTTTGGGCTGCGTCAGGCTCCAGTCCACCCACAGCTGATGGAGCTTCTCCTGCCCTTCCAGCAGCTTCTGGCCAACCTCCTGTTTCACAGATTCAATCTGATAGGAAAAATGAGAGGAGAGGTTGTACTGCGAGCACACACAGAGAGGCACAAGGGCTTCCCTGCCAGGGAAGGATCCAAGGTGACACGGAGCTGGTGTGGGATGGAGGAAGAGCTTCCAGCCAGATAGCAGGGCAGGAAGGGCTACAGACAGGAGGAGGAAGGGCAGAGCGTGTTGGTACCAGTTTTATTGCCAGCTGCAGCCGTGAGAGAGTGTCCTGGGTGTGGTGCCTGAAGCCCTGCAGCTTGGCCAGGGAGTGCTGGTAGGCTCGGTGCCGGACCCTGCCCGACAGCGAGCCCAGGCGCACGAAGTAACCCTGCTGCCTCTTCTGCTCCTCCACGGAGGCCACGCCAAAGCCCTGCACCGTGGTGGCCAGCTGACCTGGAGGAAACAAGAACAGAGTGCAGCTGGGCTCACTGCCAGCTCAGAGGGGTGGAAGAGGTTGGATCACCCGTTGGAAAACACGAAGGCTGAAGCTTGCTGTGGGAGCAGGAGGTTTGTAGTTGCTCATGTGTTAAAGGCAGGTTAGTCCCTGCTCAATCTTCAGGTAAGCAGACTTGGAGAGGTTGAAGCATGAACCCATATATTTATTTACTTTGAGGCTGATGGACAAGGACCAGCCAGCAAATGCTTGAACTCTGTCCCATGCCATGTGGCAATTTGGTGTTGACAGCCAGCAACTTTGTGACAAATTCAGAGCTACCTGTCCGCTTCAGAAGCTGAGTCTTGCTGTGTCAGGTGCTCTCTACTCACATGGGAAAGGACTTGCACCTACAAGCGCCAGGTAAGTATTTTCTTACCTAGTTCCTCCTCGGTCATTGGGAGGTAATGATCCACCAGATCTTCTGACATTCCCAGGACAGATTCCACACCTCCAGCCACTGCCTGGCTCACTGCCTTGGCTTTGCTTATGCTGTTGGTCACCACTGAGTTGGTCATCTCCACACCCTCCTGGAGAACCTCCCTGCCCTGCTCCAAGGCTGTGTTGATCTTGCTGGTGATGGTGCCATAGGCAGCATCCAGAGCTGTACTGACTGTAGAGGTGACCACAGATTTGGTCTTCTCAACGCTGTCTTGAACAGCCCCTTTGGTCAGGTCCACTGCTTCGGTCACCTTGTTGGCCACCAGGTCCTTGGCCCCCTGGGCAGCCCCCACAGCTGCAGTGATGGTGGAAGCAACAGCAGACTTGGTCCTGTCAATGCTGTCCTCCACCGTGTGCTTGGTGACATCCACGGCCTCTGTCACCTTGTTGGTCACCAGCTCCTTGGCTCCCTGGGCAGCCTCCACGGCATTGACAATTGTAGAGGCAACTGCAGACTTGGTCAGGTCAACACTGTCTTCTACGATGTGCTTACTGAGGTCCACTGCCTTGGTCACCTTGTCTGTCACCAGCTCCTTGGCCCCTTGAGCAGCCTCCACAGCACTGACAATCGTGGAAGCAACTGCAGACTTGGTCAGGTCAACACTGTCCTCCACCATGTGCTTGGTGACATCCACGGCTTTGGTGACCTTGTCCACAGCATCTGTCACCTTGTTGGTCACCAGCTCCTTGGCTCCCTGGGCAGCCCCTACAGCAGCAGTGATGGTGGAGGTCACAGCAGACTTGGTTCTGTCAACACTGTCCTCCACAAGGTGCTTACTGAGGTCCACAGCCTCTGTCACCTTGCAGGTCACCAGCTCCTTGGCACCCTGGGCAGCCTCCACAGCGCTGACAATCGTAGAGGCAACAGCAGACTTGGTCCTGTCAACACTGTCCTCCACCATGTGCTTGGTGACATCCACAGCCTCTGTCACCTTGTTGGTCACCAGCTCCTTGGCACCCTGAGCAGCCTCCACGGCACTGCTGACAGTGGAGGTGACCACAGACCTGGTCAGCTTGACACTGTCCCCAACAACATTTTTAGTGAGGTCCACAGCCTCAGTGACTTTGTCAGCCACCACTTCCTTGGCCTCGCAGGCAGCGCCAATAGCAGATGTCACTTTGGTGGACACCAGCTGCTTGGTGTCTGAGATTACCTGCACCAGGGAGAGGCAGAGAAAGAATTTTTTTTTGTTGTTGTTCCAAAATACGTTTTCCCTCCCTGAAAAAGCTTTTCCACTTGGGTTAGTTGTGCTTGCAGTGTGTGGGAGGGCCAGGGAGGTGAGCACACCTGTACTGACATGGACACGTTCACTCCTGCATGCTGAGGGCTCCTCTCTAGCTTTCCCTGCTGCTGAGCTTTCTTTATTTCCCCATGTTCTTCTGTACCCATAACACTTCCATCAAGCCATGGCTTCCCCAGGAAAAGCCTTTCCTTACCTTGTCTGCTGGCTGCTGCAGGAAGGGCAAGTTCTCCTCCAGCTGATCCAGACCTTTACAGGCATATTCATTCACAAGAGCGACTGGAAGACACAACAGGCACCAGTTTATTCTTACATTTAGGGATGGGTTTTTGACCTTACAATGCCAGCTCAGGATACACTCATGAAAACAAGCCCCAGAAAAATAAATCCCCATTCTAGGGTGGGATGTGTGCGGGCATCTTGTTGAAAGTGAACAAACACTAACATTCGGCAGGTTCAAATAATCTCCATTTTGCCTTCCCAGCTTTCTAACAGTGGACTTGAATCCAACTGCACTGTAGCACCTGCCCTTGGTGGGTAGGACATTGGGTTTAAAGGGTTGAAAAATGTTGGGATAAGCCAGACTGAGCTCCATCCCAGGCTGACACAGCTCCTGGGATGGTCAGAACTTGCAGTGAGTAACTCAGCAACCTCAAGAAATCAAACTCTGCTTCTCCTGAAGCAGTTTCATGCCCAGGCAGCTCAGTGTCCAGGAGCTGCTGGGTGGGAGGCCCAGTGCTAGAGGAGAAGGTGCTGTGGGAGGTGGGGTCACCCTACAGGCACAGGAGCCCCCCTGCCCCAAGGCTCCCCCCAGCCCTGCACTTACTCTGTGGCTCGAGCTGGCTCAGGATGGGCTGTGCCCCTCCGACCACGCTGCCCACAGCCACGGCAGCCACGGTCTCAGCCACGCTGCAGACACCACTGAGGCAGGGGTGGGACTCCTTGGTGTGGTTGTAGGCAGAGGAGACCAGGTTGAAGGCAGAATTGAGCAAGGGCAGGCTGGTGACTCGGTTGACAGCGCTCTAAACCCAAGAGAAACCCTGACATTAGAGCCCAGCCCGAGCTGGTGGGTGAACACAGCCATGTGTCTGTCCAGAAAGGTCCCAGCAAATCCATCTCCTCATCCTTCAACTCATCCAGAGGCCTCCAACAAGCCAGGGCTAAGAACTCTGAACCACACTGGTTTCAGCACCAAACCAAGCATGTTTGGTAGGACCTGTAACAGCTCCTGTTTCAGAACTACTTACATTATTTGGCCAGCCCTGAAGTTGTCTCTTGAGCAAAACAATTACCTTCTGTACTGAGGGGGTTTTGATTTGGTCACAGCTTCACAGGGCTAATCTTTCTGTCCCCCAGCCTGGTTTTGGGGTGCTGGCAGAGGTTTACCAGCACGTGTGTGTCAGTGGGTGATTTAACTGCTGTGGTGCCCTGGCACCTACCACACTCTGCTGCTCCTCAGCCTTCAGCAGCTCTGGGGTTGGGGTCTTTCCTGAGGCCATACTGACTTCAGCTGCAGCTGGAAGGAAAAACAGGAGTATCATGAGCACAACTTCATTTCCTCCAAAGAAATAAAATCCTGCCAGGACAGGGGGAAAGCAGCAGGCAACAAAGCTGGGATCTGTCATTCAGCTGCTCCCAGAAAGGTTCAGGTTAGAAATAGGGAGAACTATTTTATCTGTCTTATGTTTTCTCCGTGGGGTGGGATGACCCTGCCTGGACACCAGGTACCCACTAAAACAACTCCATCACCCCCTCCTCAGCTGGACAGGGGAAAAAAACCAAAACATTACATAGCCAGTCTGGGAAGGACATGAGAATCCTGAGGAGTTCCCCCTGGAGGATGAGCCAGGTTTCCCAGCTGCAGCATTCCATGGCTACCTGGAGACTTGCCTTCACATCCTACTGACCAGCAAGGCAGGAAATCTCACTTCCTGTGAAACCAAGGCTCAGAGGCATTCTCATGACATAATGGGATTGAAGAAGTATAAAATGTTGCAATAATCTGAGCGGGTATTGGTCCCCCAGCACAGATCTCCTGTGCTATCTGGACTCTCCTCTATTGGTAATAAACCCAGGATTATTCTGAGCCTTAGGCACAGCAGGGATTTCAGCACATTTGTTCTTTGGGACAGAGTCTGCTTTTCTCTTCTTTGCCAGTTAATTCCTATTCTTAGATTTGCTGTGACATTTTCCAGCGGGAAACCCTCAAATGAAAATTCCTCCCAAACTGGATTTCCAAGCCATGCACTGCTCCAGGCTCACTGGCAGACTCTTCCCAAAAAAGCTTGCCATCTGAGTTGTGGTGGAGCCTATTGTCTTGTTTCTTGTGTTCTTTGCTTCGTGCAAGGTTTTGATTTTGCTGAGAAACAGGAACAGAGAGATGGAGAGAAGTAGTGAAACCAGCATTTGTGAGCCCTGGACTGGGCTCTGCCACGGGCCAGGGACATCTCAGGAGGTGACTTGGCAAAACACCAAATATTGCTGCATCAATTCATCAGTGAGAATTGAGCAGGGATGCCGAGTGCCACATGCTTGTAGCAAAAGTGTCACCCACGTTGTCACCTCCATCTTCTCCAGTGAGAGACTAGGATCCCTCCCCACTTATCTGCACAGCAGAAACACCAATGGATCCCCACCAGGCTGGGAGAAGTTGTAAAAAGCTGCTCCAAAGAAAGCAAGGCTGAATGGGAGTCCCAAAGTCCAGGTTTGCTGCAGGGGCTGTCACTCCTGCCCTGCCTCAGGGCAGGTTTGTTATTTCTTTGGAGCCAGGCAGGGCTGACTTCGGGGCAAAGCACAGCTCTTTCAACACCACCACAAACAACCCCTTGGCTCAGTTATTTTACTTCTGGACAGGTGGAAAAAGCTCAGACTGTGGAGTTTGACACTGTGGTGGCCTTGGTGTCAGGGCCAGCACAGAGACACAGCAGCAAAAGGAAGAGGGGGGACTCTGGTTAGAATAATTCAGGAGTAACTTCTTGGCTGCTGTTAAAACTGCTGTAAGGTTAGATCAGCCTCTGAATACAGGGATCCCATGTTAATTATGGATACAGCCTGGCAGGGACAATCCTTCAGCAGTCATGTTGGAACAAGGTTTGTTCTCCACGGTGGAGGAGAAATCCGTGTTTTGCAACACCCAGATCTGCAGTGTGGGCAGATCTCCACAGCATGGTTTTATTTTCTCTTTCCCTGCAGAAACGCTGAGCAGCCCTTGCTTTGCTTCAGAGATTGCAGGAAAGCCCAGTGCTTGGCAACTCTGGGTCAGGTGGTGCTGAATCCTTTGGAGAAGCCACAGCCAAGCCAGGATGGCTGGGAGTGGAAATCCCAGCGGGCAGAGGAACAGAAACAGCAGCACTTTGTTTTGGTTGTGGTTTCCTTCATATGAAAGTGATGATCAGATGACTTCACACCATTGCTACATCTGAAATATTAGGTCACTGCTGGAGAAAGCTCTTGAAACAGGTGGTTTCAGAAGGATGAAACTTCAGTGCTCTTTTCTAGCACCAAGATCAAGAGATTTTCTGGGACCAGGAGCTGAACTGATCATTGCCCATTTGGAGTCAGTGAGGGAGCAAGGGCTGGCTCCCCGATTTCTGGCACTGGCAGTGACCAGTTCATGTAAAACAGGTTCTTTACTCCCCTTGGCTGGAAGGTTTCCCTGCAGGAAGCAGCTCAGCTCCATGAGAACAGGCTGCTGGTGTGTGCTCCTGTAGCATCTTCACGCTCAGGAAGCTCCTCTCCTGCCAAGGGATTTCACCTTGGGAGAAACTGAGCCACAGCCAGCATGGCTGGTTCAGTGGCTTAACTGGCAATTCCTTAATGACCTCTGAGGAAAACAAAGCTAAATTTAGTGCTTTAGATGTGAGCAGGGAGGGCTAATCAGGGCACAGGAATTCAATTGTGGTTCAAGCACCTATTTACATTCTTTTCGAGATTTGCCACTGATACCCGGCTCCCAAAAATGCAGAACTGGGTCATGGGATGTCTGTGGGGAATGGGCTGCAAATGCTCTGAGGACAGAATTAGTTTTAGGAGGAAGATCAAAGGATTCCCAGCTTTGACCTGAGGACAGCAGTTTCGGGGGCTGGCAGAGGTGCCCATCTCACCTTTCTGGACAAACCAGCAGCACTAGGAAACCTCAAAGATCAAAGGCACCCTTGCTTGCACCCTTGCTGATGGATGCACACCTCCAGCAGAAATGAAACACCACAGCCAGTGGCCACCCCTGGGTCAGTAACTGCTTGGAACACAGACATTTTAGGAAAGAGGAGAGGAAGTTTTAACTGAAACAGCTTCTCAGTGCCTCCCAATCTTTCCATGAAGACAGCGTTCTGGGTTTCCTCTGGAAGCTGTAACTTGCAGAGCAAGCAGCTCAGCACGTTTCCATCTGGAATTTTCAGCAGAACCAGCTACAGAAACTGAAATCCTTCCCAGCCATCCACAGCTCAGGGTAGCCATGACCACATTGAAAGCCTTGCTGGTCTCGAGAAACGCTAATCCAGTTTGCCAAGGCTCCCTGTGGGGGCTGGCAGAGCCCTGCAGGGACAGGGTGCTCCTGAGCAGGAGTTCCCGTGTCACTCAGCTCTCGTGCCTCCACCAGAGGATCACGAGAAACAGCCCCGGGCAGGGCTGGCAGCGCTGTCACACGAAGGGAATGCCCGGCAGGTCACCTGCACGCTGTCCCCGGGGTGTCACCTGCCCCCGGAGCATCCAGCTTGTCCCCACCACCCCCAAACACAGCGCTGTGCAGGTGACTGGAGGGAGTCACCTCCTGTGGGCCCCCCAGCAAACAAGAAGCAGAAAAGAGCTTTTAAACCTCAGGCTGCTCAATCACAGATCCACGGAGTCACCAAGGAGTCACCCCAAAGCTGGGAAGGAGCCTTTAGGGCATTGTGTGACTCCCACCACGGTTTGGGTTGGAAAGGACCTTAGAGATCACCTGGTTCCACCCCCAGCCTCAGCTGTTACCCAAGGCAGACACATCGCGACAGCAGAAAATGTCACCTTTGCCCTCAGAGAGCAAAGCCCCCCAACACACAGGAAAGGTGGGGACACAGCGGGGACACAGCGGGGACACAGCGGGGACACAGCTCCTGCGGTGCCGGGCTGCTGAAGGGCCCCGTGGCACAGCCGGCTCCCCCCAAGGGAGCTCCGGGCCACGGCCCCGGCACCCCGCCCGAGCTGCAGAGCCCGGGGAGGCACCCCGAGCCCCAGGCAAGTCACAGACCCCCCGAGCCCCAGGCAAGTCACAGACCCCCCGAGCTCCCACACCTTGCCCACCCCTCAGCCCAGCCTTACCTGCCTCCTCCGCGCCCGGCTCTGGCGAGACTCAGACTGGGAGCACTGGCGGGACTGGGAGCGCCGGGCGCCGCCCGGTTAAATAGCCCGCGGGGTGATTGGCAGCGCGGGGCTGGGGCAGCGGGGGCCGGCCGGGCCAATGGGGACAGCGCTGGGTGGGGCCGCAGGTGAGGGGCCGGGGTCCCCAGGTGAGGGCCGGGGTCCCCAGGTGAGGGGCCGGGGTCCCCTCGGGGCCGTGGAGCTGCTGTTTGTCCCCCCAGGAGGGACAGACCTGGCAGGGTGTGCAGGGCGTCTCTCAGGGTGTCCCATCCCCTGGTGCTTTGGTCGTGGCGTACCCTGAGTTGGGAGGGGCCCACAGGGATCCCCTGGCACCGCACAGCCCCCCCAGCAATCCCCCCTGCCTGGGGGTGTTCCTGCAAAGAGCTGCTCATGGAGGTCAAGCACTGCAGCTGCTTGGAGCGGGGTGCTGGGACAGGAGCTGTCCCCCTGTGTGTCCCCCAGCTGGGGGCACAGGGGCTGCCCTGGGGCTGTCATTGCAGGGGGTCACACATGTTGTCACCAAGTCCCAGAGGAGCAGGACATGGTGTTTGTGGTGTGAACCATCATCATCATCATCATCATTCTGATGTTTTTTGGCAAAGCTCCCCTCCCCACATGGGGCTGCTGTGCCTCCCCGAGGAGTCGGACGTGCTCTCCCACCTCGGCCCGTGCCAGGCCCCAGCAGACACCTGAGGATGAGCCCTTCTGCTTCTCCTGTTTGCTGGGATTTTCAGGGTAGGAGCTGATTTATGTTTTCATCCTCGCAGAGGGCCCAGCAGTGCAGGACTCCAGGGAGCTCAGGGCTTTTTAACAGCTATAACAAATACTGAAAACTCCAGTTAATGCTTTTCTTTTCTATTTGTGCCTTTTCATCTTCAGCTCTCAAAAACTGGTTTGAAAACATCAATTAAGCTTCCTGTTGTCTGTTTTCAAGATCAGCGGGGGAGGAAACTGAGGCACAGGTAAAAATTATCTGAAGTCTTCTAACACTATTACAGTGATTGAGTCACCTTGTTTTGGGCCATGGATGTAGGAGACCTTGGCTCTGTTTCTGTATTGCCATTCAGGCAGGGGGGTGCCAGTGGTTTTTGAAAAATGTGCTGTTAAGCTGACAAAAATGTAGACAATTGTCACTCCTGAGCTTTGGGGCTGGAAGGAATCCTCATCCTGAGGCTGGCGTAGCTGGGAGTGCTGGCTGAAAGGCCTCTGGAGCTCAGGCACTCGTGGAGAGCTGGGAGCTGCTGAGTCTGGGATCTCCCAGGGATGCAGATCCCCCACGGCCTCTCTGGCTGCTGGACCCTCTGGGACTGGATGTTGCATTAATGGAGAAGCTGCTCCCAATGTCCACTCTGAGCCTCTCCAGTACAAATTGTGGCTTTTGCCTCTGGTTTGATCACCTGCACTGCTGGAAAGAGTCCTTGTGCATTTGTCTGTGTGACATGAACTCCATATTCATCACCTGGGAGCCTGTCACAGAGTCACAGGGCCCAGAATGGTCTGGGTGGGAAGGACCTTAAGTTTTTGATGCAGTTCTCAAGTGTTTGATAGCTTGTACTAAAACTGAAGGCAGCTTTAGCAATCGTGATGTTTGTAAGGGAAATAAAAATTTGTCTGTCCTGTGAAGAATTGATGAAATGAAGGTTTTTTTACAGGAACAGGGAATCAAGAAATGAGTCCTGTGTATTTTGGAGTGTTGGCCAGAGCTGCATCCTCAGGTAAGGTGTCAGTGATCCAGCTGCCAGGTGGTTCCTGGGTGTGAAGTGCCCCTGTGGGTCAGTTGCTGTGGGCATGGGGAAAGTCTCATGGGTCAGGTTCAATTTCATCCCCTAAGTGAGTGAAACAGCACTGTGTGCAGGATGCACCTCCTGTGGCTGTGGTGGGGCACGGGGGAATGTCAGAAGTGATAGCCAGTAATTAAAATTAACCAGGCAGTGTTTAATATCTAATGTGTGGCTTTGATATTAGGGTAAAATGCCAGTGCTGGGATTTCCTGCTGGGTGGCAGAACTGCCTGCAGGCTCAGGACACTGCATTTGGGGGATTGCAGTGCCAGAGCAAAGGCTTGCACAATTGTTTCTGTGACCCTTGGTGCTGTATGAAAGACACAGATTTAAATCCGAGATAAAATCGTCATAAGAGGTTTGGTGGGGTGGGAAGAGCGTGGGAGGAAGTGGAGAAACACGTTTGGGGAAGGGAGAGGAGCTGTGCTGCTTGCAGCATGGCAGCCCTGTGCAGCCCTGAGCAAACCCAGGGCAGGATCCTTCAGGTGTGAACCCCACCTGTGCTCCAGGAGCCCCTGTCCCTCAGCCCTGCTCCTTCAGCTCCCCTGGCTCCTTCAGCTGCCCCTGGCCCCTTCATCTGCCCCTGGCTCTTCATCTGCCTCCTGGCTCCTTCATCTGCCCCTGGCTCCTTCATCTGCCCCTGGCTCCTTCAGCTGCCCCTGGCTCCTTCAGCTGCCCCTGGCCCCTTCATCTGCCCCTGGCTCCTTCATCTGCCCCTGGCTCCTTCATCTGCCCCTGGCCCCTTCAGCTCCCCTGGCCCCTTCAGCTCCCCTGGCTCCTTCATCTGCCCCTGGCTCCTTCATCTGCCCCTGGCTCCTTCAGCTCCCCTGGCTCTGCCTGGGGACGAGGCCTCAGCCTGCAGCTTCTCACTTGTCCCATCCTGGTTTCTGTTGAGTGCAAACCTGCAGGTGTGTGGGGGATCTGGAGGGTTGGACCCCTGTGTTGGGAGCCATTCCTTTCCCTGCTCTTGGTGTGTCACAGCTCAGCATTGTCCCTTTGGGGCCCAGAGGCCACACGTGACACTGGAGTTCCCACTGCAAATGTTCATCTGCTGCAGAGGAAATCATCCTGCTGCTCTCCCAGGGCACTGCTGCATGAGTAACCTGCCACTGCCACGGTCACCTTCCCCGTGTCACCTCCCCTGGGGCAGGCACAGGCACGAGAAGTGATGAGAATGATGATTCAGGGCTGGGGCACGAGGAGCTTTGGTTCTGTTCCTGGGGAAGTGAAGCACAGCCCTTGGCTTCCAGAGCTGCCTGGGCAGCTCTGCAGGGCCCACAGAGGGCACAGCTCTGGGTCATTGTCACTCAGTGCTGTGCCAAGCCCCCCAACCTTCCTGCTCCCCCTGAGCCTTCCGAGCACTCTCCTGGGTCAGGACCTGCTGCAGGTCTCTGCTGCCTCCCTCTGCACCCGCCCAGCAGCTCCCTCCTGTCTCCTGTGCTCAGCTCACCTCGAGGTGAGCCCCTCCTGCTCCCTTCCAGCAGCTCCCTGGGCTCCCCAGCCCCTGTTCCCCCTCCAGGCCCTGCTCCCCTTCCAGCAGCTCCCTGGGCTCCCCAGCCCCTGTTCCCCTCCAGGCCCTGCTCCCCTTCCAGCCTTTGCTCTCACAGCAGGGAACAGCCTGATGGTTCCTGGCTGCTCTCCCAAAATTCCAGTTCACCTTTCTGCTGCTTTTTCAGGCTGCAGGATGGTTTTCTGCGTGCCTGGCTGCTCCTCCCTCTGCTGCTGCTGTCTTGCCTGAGGTAGAGGTGAGCTGGGGTGGTGTAATGCTGCTTGGTTTTGGTAGATGGGAGAGGGGAGGTCCCCTGGCCTGCTAAATGTGTCCCCTCCATCCTCAGCCCCTGCTTCCCCAGAGGCACAGGCCTCCTTTGCCCTCCCCAGCCTGGGCTTTGGCCAGCTTTACCCCTGTAAACTGCTGCTTGTTCAGAGCTTTGCGTGGAGGGAGGGGAACATGGGATCCAGAGAGCTCCTGGGTGCAGCATGGCTCTGGATCATCCCAGAGCTCGTGGGGCTGGAGCAGCCTGCACTGCCCCCCTGCCCTGCAGCCCCACTGCCTCACCTGGGGCAGGATTCTGGCTGTGCTGTGTGTGACAGGCCTCAGCCATCACCTGTCCTTGAAGAGCTGTGCAAGGAATAGCTAGTTATGCACATAAAAGCATAAATGCCAGTCTGTCTCCTGGGTTTGGCTGGGATAGTGTTAATTTTCTTCCCAGTAGCTGGTCCAGGGCTGTGTTTTGGATTTAGCATGGGAATAGTGTTGATAACAACCGATGTTGTGGTTGTGGCTGAGTTGTGCTTACTCCACATCAAGGACTTTTCAGTTTCCCAGGCTCTGCCAGCGAGCAGGGGCACAAGGAGCTGGGTGAGAGCATGGCCAGAGAGCTGGCCTGGAGTGGCCAGAGGGAAATTCCATTCCACAGAACATCTGCCAGTACAGAAACTGGGGGGTGGCACCTGTCTGTCACTGCTGTGGGACGGGCTGGCTCAGGGTGGTGAAGGACTGTGTTGGGCCGCTCTGGCAGGGAGGAATCCCTGCCCAGTGTCCCAGAACCCTCCCAGGCTGCAGGAAGTGCTGCGGTGGCTCCAGGTGAATCCTCCAGCACCTCCACAAGGGCAAGAAATGACTTTGTGTCAGGGCAGAGCCTTCAGCCCTGGCAGGAAAACGCAGCCTGGCCGCTGCAGGCGGCCTGAGCGCCCCGACACCCCCAGCCCCCAGCCCATCCGGGCCTCCTGGCCCATCCGTGGGGCCCATGGTGGCTCCAAGGACGGGGTGGGACGCGGCAGAGGCGCTGCCCCGCGTGTCCCCCGCGGCACGCCGGGCCGGGAGGGCACCGCGTCCCGCTGCTGGCTGTGTCCTAGGGCCGGGGGAGGCCGCGGGGAGGGGAGCACGGGAAGCGGGGTGTGCCGGGCCTTGCCGCGGCCTCCCGGCCTCGTGCTCCTTTGTCCGCGGCTGTTCCGGCCCAGCCGCGCCATCCCCGCGGCCGCGGCCCGGCCTCTCTTCCCACAAACGCCAATCCTCGGCCTCTCACCCTTCCCTCGGAGCAGCCTTCTCTCAGGGGCCTCTTGGCCACGCTTTCCGCCATCCAACGGTTGTTTTAAGCAAATGTTGCCATTTTCAGTTTCCTCACGGCATCGGTGGTTTCGGGGACAAACATCCTGCTGGATCCGCTCGTTCCGCCGGCTGGCGCGGCCACGCCGCGGCCCTGCAGTGTCACCCAGGCCACGCTGTCACCAGTGGGGCCCTGCACAGCGCCATGAGTCCCCCCGGAGATAACGGCCTGGGGGGTTAGAGCCCTTTTGCGGATTGTCTGGTTTATTTGGATGGCTTTGTTTATTCGGTCATTCGGATTATTCGGTTTATTCGCATCATTCGGATTATTCGGTTTATTCGCATCAGGGTAGAGCCTGGAGCCCCCCAGGGGGGCAAGAACCCTCCTGGAGCCCCCCGGGGGATCAGGACCCCTGGGGAAGGGTGGCTGTCATAGGGGGGTCATTGGCGTCTCCTCTCCCGCGGGGGCTCACCAGGTTTAGGACAATACCCGGTACCGTGCCCACGGCCCCGGGGGTTCGGGGCTGATGGAGCCCTTGGGCATTCGGGGGGTTTTGCCCCCAGCATCGCAGCGGAGCGGGGGGCGCCGGGCCGGGTCACTGGCGGGGGATCCCCGCTGTCGCCCCCGGTTCCAGGGGGTGTTTTCCCGGTCCCGTTTCCCGGCCAGGGCCCCCCCCGGCCCCGGGAGGCGGCGGCGGCCCCGCCCCGCCCGCGCGTTCCCGCCAGCGGCGGCCAATGGGCGCGCGCGGGGCGCGCGCGGGGCTTTTCCGCGCCAAACTCCAAAGCCCGCGGAAAGCGCGCGCGGCACCGGCTCCAGCACCGCACCCGGCACCGCACCGGTGAGTCCGCCGGGACCCCCCAGCCCCAGCCCCGGCACCGCACCGGTGAGTCCGCCGGGACCCCCCAGCCCCGGCACCGCCGCCCCATCGCGATCCCGCCGCGGGCCGGGGAGCGGCCGGTGGCACCGGGAGCGGGAGGACAGCGAGGGGCGCGGGGCTCTCCCCGCCCTGCCCGGGCGGTGCGGGAAGCGGCGGGAGCGCTCGGCGGTGCCCGGGCGGTGACAGCTGGGTCTGGTGCCCCGGAGGGGTCGCGTCGCTCGGGGCTGCGACAGCGGGACCGACCCCCGCCCCCGAACGGGCCCGCGGGAGGGGGGTGTGGCCGTCAGGGGCGGTGCCGGCGGCACCGGTGCCCTGCGGGCCCGGGGAGTGGCATCGCCCCGGGGGCTGCGCGGGGATGACGCGGGCGGGCTGGGGCGGGTCCGGGCGCGGCGGGGGTCGCTGACGCCCCGCGATTCCCGTCCTGTCCCGGGCGGGCGCGGGTGACGGCCCCTTTAAGACCACGCGCTTCCCCCCCCCCCACCTTTATCCCTTCTCTCATTTGCATGATCGCGCGAGACTTGGCGCGTGGGCGCGGCGGGCGGGTTTCAATTGTGGCGCGAGATACGGCCGGCGAGAGCGGAGCCGTTAGGCTCCCGCGTGGGGGGGCGGGGCCGCCCCCGCCACGCAGCCAATCAGCGGCCGAGCCGGCCGGGCCGGCGGCCAATGGCGGAGGGCGGCGCGGCCGCGGGCGGCGGGCCCGCCCCGCCGGTGCCGCCGCCTGAGCGCGGGCCCATTCCCGGGGCAGCGCCGGCGCCATGTGGATCCAGGTGCGCACCATGGACGGCAGCCAGACGCACCGCGTGGACTCCCTCTCCAAGCTCACCAAGGTGGAGGGGCTGCGCCTGCGGATACACGAGGTGTTCGGCGTGGAGCCCCACCGGCAGCGGCTCTTCTACCGCGGCAAGCAGGTACGGGCGCGGCGCGGGCACTGACAGCCTGGGAGCGGCGGCGGCGCGGTGCCGGACACCCCCGCCCGGCCCCGCGCTCCCCTCCCGCTGAGGACGCGTGTTTTAATTTATTCATTTTTAATTGCGTGGAAAGGAGGGGTTGTGCTGCCATCTAGTGATCCCGGCTCCCGTGCGGGGTCTGCGGGGGGGCTGCCAGCTGCAGAGCTGCCTTTAGTCTTGCTTTCTTTTCTGCTTTCCACCTAACGTGTTGCTCTTCTGCCTTGACATCGCCTTTATGAAGTGTCTGGCAGTTGCCAGTGGTTTTACGGTCTTTAAAGTGCTTGATGCTTTTGAGCCTTGCGAGTTTCACCGCTCTGAAAGCCGTAAAGATCTCATTTTCCTTTGTAAATTGGGAAGAGCAGCTCGTGATTGTGAAGTTCTTCAGCTCTGATATCAAATTCTCGCTAGGTACAGAACACTTGAGTGGCTGAGTGCTGTGTTATGTTCTCAGTAATACGTTTGCAATTGCTGTCGTACAACTGTTTTATTCCATGCGAGTTAGTAATGTAACTAAATTAGCACTGAAGTCAGTCAAAACCATTTAAAAATACAGTTGTTGTATTCTGCCTGGTCCTGTGCTGCTAAACCTTCGTGCTAGAGACACTCCTGATCCGTGTTTGGTTGGTCACAGGATTAATTTCAGGAAAAGCAGGGATGCTGAGTTGGCTGCAGATGGACAATTTTTTCTGGCTGCTCTTCTTTCTGTTTTAGGCAGTCTTGAGCTGACTGTAGTCTGTAATTAGCAGGTGTGGCTGTAGAACATGGAAATACACCTGGACTAGCCTCAGTCTAAGCTCAGGTACCAGTTCCAGCTTAAAGAGAGGCCTGTAGGATGGTGTAACATCTCTGAAGGGCTGTTTGTAACCCACTTTTCTGTGGGGTTGTGTAGATTTGGATGCCTTGATGCTTGTGTTGTAAATGAAGTGATGAAGGGGTTTGGTTCAGGGCCGGTGCCGCCTGTCAGCCTTTCCCTGAGCTGTGCAGGCAGCCAGGCTTAAACAGATTTCAGAAGTGGTGACTTCAGGATGCCCTACAAAGGATCCCCCCTCCTGCAGCTCCAGGGCTCCTTGGCTCAGGCAGGAACGTGACCCAGCCTCTCACAGGCCTTGTTCCCTCTGTGCTTTGTCTGCCTCTTGGAGTCCCTGCAAACGTTCCATTTCTTACACGTGAACGTTTTTCAGTGGGTTAGAAAATTAGCTGTTGGTTCAAACCTGCCTCCTTTGTTGGAGGTTTGTCCTCAGTCCCGGGCTCTTCTTCCTGGCTGCTTTGAGCTCCTGTGGTTTCCTGTCTCCATCCCACTCTGCACCTGTTGTCACTCGTGTCCTCTGCTGCTGCTGTGCCCATGTTTGTGACACTGAGAAGAAACAACCAATTTCTGGTGTGTTCTTAGGCACCTCGAGGAGTTTTCATCTCTAAACCAGCAAAAAGCTCAGACCTCTTCCTGTGCAGTCAGATTTCCAGGGATTGTTCCACAGCCATTGGATGCCATAAATCAGAATTGAATTATCATAGTGATTCCTGTGAAGTGTAAATTTTTGTGGTTTTGCTCTGCTTCCCCCTGATAGAGAACAAAGCTCCAGGGATTGCTTTTTTCTGGTGGTTTAGGCTGGAAAGGGATGATCATTTCCTGTATAATTTCTTAGTCAGACCTTAAATATGTGGGGAAGCTTGTCTGAACTTCTGACTGCTCCGTGGGCTCCAGCCTTGCATGTTAACTCTAAAATGCTTGTGCTCCTCAGAGCTCTTGAGAGGTTTTTGAGGGGCCTCTTTCTCCCTCTGCACTTCTCTTCTGCAGGGGCAGGGTCTCGGTTTGAGTACAAACCGTGCCAGATAAACTCTTAGAATTAGAGAGAGTGTGAAATTAGGACAGGCCTGGCTACGCTAAAGAGCGATCGAGTAGTTTCAAGTTGAATTGAATCTTTTCTGATTTGACTTTCAGTGGAAAAAATGTGTGATTAACTCTGGCTTCTGCTTAATGCTACGAATAATGGAGATGGTGTAACAATATTCTGGATCACGCACAATTAGAATAGAAAGACAATCTGCATGGGTATGAATTGAGGAAGAAATAATTTCCCTTTGTGTTTGTAGGTAATGTGGAATTATCTCTGAATCCTGACGGCAGTGTGGGGGGTCTGTAGTTGTTTCATTGATGTTTCTAGGGAATGTGCTGCAAACTTTTCCAGATCTCCTAGAGGCTGGGTAGCAACCCAGAGCAGCACGGAGGCCGTGCTGTTGCAGATTGATTGCGGGTGATGGAAAAAAGAGCATTTAGATAGCAGGAGGGAGAGAGCAGGGCCCAGAGCTGGCTGGTAACGGTTCCAGAGCCACGTGGTGGATGGATGTCGGCGGGCTGGGCGGCGATGGGAGGCTGGCGTGAGCCCCGCTGACCGGCTGCCTTGCTGCTTTCCCTGCAGATGGAAGATGGGCACTCCCTGTTCGACTACAGCGTGGGGCTGAACGATATTGTTCAGCTGCTGGTCAGACAAAGCCCGGCCCTGCTGCCTGCCGGGAGCAAGGAGAAGGACCCGGAGCTCTCGGACAGCGACTCCGGCTGCGGCTCCGGCCCCAGCGAGTCCGACAAGAGCTCCCACAACGGGGAGGCTGCCCTGGAGCTGGAGGGCCAGCCCGGCACGGCAGCTCAGCCCGGCTGGGCCCACCCCTGCCTCGGCCTCTACAAGGTGGGTGCTGAGCTGGGAGCCCCAGACCCGCCTGCCCAGGGCGCTCGTTCTCTGTGCTGGAGCGTTGCTGAAAATCCTTCACACGCCAGTTGTGTGGGCAGTTCCTTTCTTCCTCTCAAACCCTCCAACAACAAAGACAGAAATACCAACCAACCCACAAACCAATTCAATGCAACGTGCTGTAGGTCAAAAGACTTCATTTTTTCATTTTGTTCTTTGAACTAAAACTACAATACATTAATTAAAAAAAAAGTATTCAGAGTGTCTGGTTTGATTTTTTTTTTCACAAATTTTCCCAGTGTTTTTGCTTGGAGTCACTACATTTGTCAAAGCTGAAACTTTCTTGAATGAACAAAAGAAAATCTTGAGCAGCTCTTCAGAATGATTTTATTCTTTTGTTTCAATGGGTTTTATTACAGATCTAGTGAAGTCTTTGCCAGATTATGAGCAAGACACTTTGAAACTCATTACAGACTAACCAAGAATGGTTTGGGCTCGCTAACAAGGCTGGGTTTACATGTGCTGTGT